TATTTTTTTTTTATTTTTTATTTTTTATTTTTTTTTTATTTTTTATTATTTTTTTTATTTTTTATTTTTTATTTTTTTTATTTATTTTTAATTTTTTTTTTTCAATTGATCGCTAGCTCTAATATTTTTTCCAAATTGCCAACGAATCGTGATGCCTCATCTGTGCTTTTCTCTGCCAACCTATAGTAGCAGTCTCGAGTTTTTTCAAATAATTTACTTATTCTCAATTAGCTTTTTTCTGCCACTTTTTCTGCTGGAGATCTCTGAACAACAGGTACTTCCACAATATCATGGGTTTGATATACTTCCATGCTACTTTTTTCGAATATTCTTTGAAATCTGCCTCAAGCTTTTGGCATTAATATATTGTTACCACAAAGTTGTTCGTAGAAAATATGACGACATGGTAACATATACTGATTGAAGAATCTGCATAAGCATTCCGTACTTTCAAGGTTGGGTAGGCACTTTTCTTCTTCTAGTCTTTTTGCAACAGCATGTACTTCTTCTGCGATAAGTTTTTGAAAAGGAAAAGAAAATTTATAAATCTCAGTGAGAATTTCTGGCCTAATATTAGCGAGAGAAATTCTTTTGGTACAAAAATTGATAGCAGTTTCTTTGGCAGCCACCATTTTTTTGTTATTGATAGCAGTTTCTTTGGCAGCCATCATTTTTTTGTTATCAAGTTCTAAAAGAATGTAACATGCTCCTAAATAAAAGAATAAATAAGTAAATTAATTAAAAATAAAGAATAAGTTAAAAAAAAACTAAATTAAAAAAAAAAATAAAATAAATAAAGAAAAAAAATATAGGTGACCCTCTTTAGTATCAACTTTATTAATCAACCTAAAATTTTAAAAAATTGAGTTCAAACTATATAAATTTTACTTCTTAGTTATCGATCCTCATATATATCAACATAATTACACAGGTCGAATTTTAAAATTTCTTAGATCAACAGAATATCAGACGTCTATAAGTCTGATAACTAACTGATTTTTGGCACGTATTTTTACTTATCGGAAAGATATCGGCGCTGATAGGCATAAAAGATATTCAATATTTTTTAATAGAAGTGAACCAATATCCTTCTGATAGGTGAAATATGTGCCAAAAATCGGTTAGCTACCAAACATATCGATGTCTGATATTCTGCTGATCTCTCTTAGAAATGTTATAAAATTTTTAAAATTCGACCTGTGTTATCTGATCCAAATTGGTTGATATCACGAGGGTCATCTGTAATAATAAGATAAATAAAAATAAAAATATCACGATGATTTTAACGCTCACTGGAGGTGAAATTCACTGGGTATCGGTATACTATTTCTCAAAGATGGCTTTGATAATCAACATTTAGTATATTAAGTAAAAATGTTCACTATACTAAAAAACCTTAACCTCTAATTTAATTTAAACCCTAAATCTTAACCCTAAAGTTTAATTTTTGTTTTAACATTTGAGGTAAAATTTTCTATAGATCATATAATAATAATTGTCGGGGATGATGCTGAAATCGGATGATGCTGAAATTCACGTGATCACATGATGATCTTCTGTATAAACGAACCTAAAGTGCTTATAGAACCCTAGCATCACCAACTAAAAAATTTCGCTGTTAATGTTAGGGTTAGGGGTTGGGTATGACCATATTTCAATTATCCTAGTAGAATTAGATATAATATATGTAAAATCAAACCAAAAAACCTTCCATACCCTAACCTAACTCTAACACCAACAGCGATAGTAATGCTAGGTGTTTATACAGAAGATCATCATGTGATCACGTGAATTTTAGCATCATCCGATTTCAGCATCATCCCCGACAATAATTAAAACACATATCGTGGTGAATTTTACCTCTAGCGAAATCTAAATAAATTCAAAAATAAATTAAAAAAAAAAATTAGAAAAAGAAAATTATCCTTCATCACAAGTGTACTCTTTAATAAATCAAAATGTAACAAATGGCAACCAGGCTAGAGTTAAGCTGGGATTAGATTGATCCAACCAATCACTTGGAATCATAATCACGTTTCTTAAAAATTATATGAAACCATCTTACTAAAAGCTTATGCAAAATAACATAAAATTACGTAAAATTATACAACCTAATCAAGGGTAGTAATACCTCTAGAGATGGGCAAGGTAATAATATAAGTAATAAATTACTTATTTTTTTCCCAGAACTTATTATTACTAATTGTTACCTATGACGAATGATTATTACTTATTAGTTTTACAAATGTAATCTGGAAAGTACTCAATAATTTGCTGATCAGATTGTGTTTTTGCTTATATCGCAATTTTTTACTTATTATTACTTATTATGAAAAAATTAGAAAAATAATTGTAGTAATACAAATCGAAATCGAAATTAATCGATTAGTTGGTTAGTTGACAACTAATCGACTGAACTTTTTAGGCACCAACTAATCGATTAATCGACTAATCAATTAGTTGCAACTAATCAATTAAATAATTAATTGATTAGTTGCAAAGAATTGATTAAAAAATCATTTATTTACTTAATAAATTAATTGCAACTAATCAATTAATCGATTAATCGACCAGTTGCAACTAATCGATTAATCAGTTGCAACTAATCAATTAGTTGCAACCAACTGAAAAAATAATGACCAACTAATCGATTGACAATTTGTAACACTAAATAATTGGAAATAATAAATAATAATACGTTTACTAAACTTGCCTATCTCTAAATGCATCGCACTGGCAATGAATGATAGTTTTCTTTAAAAAAAAAAAAATTTAAAATAATAAATTAAAATAATAATCAATCAAGCCATAATTAACAGAAATTTTTGACTTTAGCTTACTGTGAAATGATTCCAGAGGATTAGTAGAAGTGATTTGAAGAAGAAGTAGTGAATGCTGGTAAGCCCAGAGTGCCCATTGTCTCAAATTTTTTAAATAGTTTCTAGTGATATAATTTGCATTGGCTTGAATAGAACAAGTACTTATAGCATCATGAATGATATCTTCACATCTGACTTTTGTTCTTTTGTGCATAGCTTGAACCATTTTGTTGAGTGTAAGACCATGGTAAATATTTCTCATCTACATTCGTATAATGTGTATAGTACAAAGGAGAACATCGCACTCTTGCTTTTCTACAAATCAAAATTATTTGTGTTTTAAAAGTCTTAGAATAATAAAAAAACTTTATTTATACTATATCTTCACATTCATAAAATTATATAAAATTATTTAAAAAAAAAACCATAAAATAAAAAAAAAAAAAGATAAAAAGATTAAAAAAAAAAAAAGATAAAAAAAAGAGATAATAAAATAAAAAAAAAATAAATAAAATAAAAGTTCAAATTATATTCTCTCTCTACCCACAGAAAGACCTAGAAAAGTTAATGCAATACCGTTAGACTCTACACTGCTTTGATCAAGGAGCATGTATTGTGGATTCTAATATGAAGCAAAGGTTCGAATAATTCTTAAAGCAGCTGCGATGGCCTCACTTGTTTCCTTATTAACAAAAAA